GCAATAATCTAACTTTGGATAATCATTTGTCTTCTATTTTATTGATTTACAATTTTTTTTTTTTTTTTTGGTCTAATTTCAGCAAAAAAGAATATATGGATCTCTATTTTATCAAACAAAATTGCTGTATTCTGCAAACTTTAAAGAACAGGTGGGCCGAGGGCTGATTTTGAGTAGCGGTTTCTGATTAGCTGTGGCCCTAAAATACTTAGAAATTAAACTAAAAGCAAAATAAATAAAAAACCGTAATCAACTAAAGATAAATACTTTGGTTCTGCCTAATATTTTCTATTTTATGTCAGATTTTGACTGCAGACACTGGCAGTATGGGTTTGGACTCACATAAAATGAGTCCATGGGCCACAAAAGGCCCACAAGCCACAACTTGAACACCTCTGACTTAGATCAGTCGAATAATGGGAAAAATTAGAGGAACTGAAAAAACATAACATCTTAGGCATATTTTAACACATTTTACCAAATGATAAAAACATTAGTGACACTATATTTACGATACCATAATGTTCATTCATATCCTCACATTCCTATGCCGATGCCACATTGGGGCCTAAAAGAACATTCTGTTCTCTGATGTTTATAAATTAAAAAAAAGAAAAATAGTGGGAGTTTTAATGAGAAATAAAAGAAAATCTCAGCTTTTCAGTATATGACCTGCCTATAAAAACCGGTCAGAGAGGAAACCGGTAGATTCCAATCTCTGGATTGACTGCTGAGTCTCCAGTTTTCATATCGTTACATCCCGGCAAAGTATTTTGGTTTATAACAGGGCAGCGTCTAATCCCCACCAGCGACCTGCCAAGCTGAGCTTCCAAAATCACACGTACACACACACACACACACACACACACACACACATAAACAGGGCTCTGACTTTCAGATACTTCAGCAGCACCTAGTTTCAAGAGGTAATATGACTCAGTTGCTCAGAGCCTACTTTGAAGCGAACGCAGCAACAGGCGTGTTGTAATAAATCTAATAACGGCCCTAAAAGAAAATAAATAAGTAAATAAAAATCTTCAAATATTTGCAAGCTGCAGCTTTGAAATAATGAGATGTATAAAAAGTGAAAGTCTGGCATGACTTGACATTATCTCTCCGTGTCAGAGCTGTGCCGCCCGACTGGGTCCAGCGCCTTAAGTTAATGCAAAATAGCTGAGAAGTTGTTATGGAGACATGAATCCCATTGGGTTGTGCTGCTACAGCGCCGTCTCCAGAGGCTGGCGTCACCCCCAGCAACAGACTTGCTCCAACAACTGCACCCAACTCTACCTTTCCTCCACCCCTGGGCTCTGCTGCCATTCTGTGCCACCAATTTTCACTCTCAAATGATCCTATTGTGCATGCATGCATGCATGCATGCATGCGTGGGTTTGCGTGTGTGTATGTATGTGTGTGTGAGTTCAAGCTGACGAAGACACACCCAGTCCCGGCTCCCACACTCAATCTACATGACCAAGACAGCAACATTCACACCTTCATGGATATTCAAATCTCAGTCAGCAGCTCAGAGTCACACCAGAAGGAAGCCGCTGGGATTCACACGTCCTCTCATGCCTTTTCTCCCCCTCCCCCCCCGCCCTCCCCGATATTTATTAATAAAACCAAACACAAGCATGACCTTCTTTCTGGCAAAGTGTCTGTCCCATTTACCCACATTTGAATTTTCATGCTCCATGAGTGTAGGTTTTTTTTTTTTTCTTCTTTATAGAAACATCTCAATTCCCTGAAAATCTCTCCATGTTGAAGAGAAGACCTCACAGGCTGAATCTGCCCGGGCTGGGACTCGACGCTAACAACTTTTTCCTTCCCTAAAACTCAGCTGAAACAACTTCTGTGCGCTCTGTGCTGCGCATAAAACCTGCGAGGGGTGTTAGCAGGGGCTCCCGCTACCCCATTCAGGTCCCCCAGGTAACCATGGCAATGAAGACCAAGAAAGAACGCTTTCATGTTGGCGCCCTGAACCGGGATTTGGAGGGGGGAAATGAGCAGACAGGAGAAGCAGAAGGAGGAGGGAAGGGGTGGCTGCTCCGAAATGCACTCCTAAACTTTACAAGCCATACAGTGGGAGGCAAAATGCACAGAGAGGCAGGAAGAATAATTTAAAAAAAATGTTAAAAAAACAAAACATACTGATTAGAAAAAGCCAGCCAACCATAAAAGCGCTTTAAAGTAGAAAACTCACCGTTTTGGAATCCAATTCATGTCTGTTTTGTGCCAAAACCTTTTCCACACCGGCCTGATCTGCGTATGTAACGAAGCCGAACCCCCTGCAAGAGGAGAGGAACGAAATAAACTCACACATGCAGCCATCTTTTGGTGGAGAAGCTCAGCGGTCCCTCCAAGGGGGGTCCTATATGGGTAATTTTCTACAAGTATAAACTCAAAGCAAGAGAACGAGCCTCAGCTAGCAGCAATCACTCCCACTGTTGCTACCGCAATACAACGTAACAATCACTAAAGCTGCTAAATGTGGTGATTTGAACAGAGAGTCACCAATCATGCTTTTCATGGTTCAGTTTTCCTTGACCTCCTGATTCGTGATGATGGTGATGTAGGATCTGTAAAGTGTCGCAGGTTCTTTGACAGAGATACTTGTGTCAATTTAAACCAAAGTTTTGCTAAATTTAAACCAAAACTTAAAGGATTACAACATCCTCCCATATGCATGGTGGTATGTTTGCGACCATTATCTGATTTTTCTTTTTTTTCAATAAACTGACAAAAGTTAAGGATGCATCCAAAGGCGTGTTGTTAATTGATAATAAAAATATCTGGAGATTTCAGTTTTGATGCAGTTAAGAAACATTAAAAAAAAAAAAAACTGCTTAATTGTATTTGAGAAAATCATCTCTAATGAGGATTATCCAGTTCCAATATCTGGGTTTTAAGCACCCAGATATTAGATGTTTTTGCTCTTCTCTTTATAGAGTAACTCAGATGTAATGAACAAGGAAATTCTAAGGAAATTCTGAATTTTCCACATTAATAAAAATGTCCTAAACAGCCCAATTTGCCTCTTTCTTTTTTTTTTGCAATAGCCAGGAGGAGAGCCAGTTGACTTTCTTCTTTTAGCCAGATGACCAGCAGTGTGCTGCAACAGGCTATTATTCCCTTCAAAGCTGAGGAAAACTATGAGAAGCTTCAGCTGCTGTGAAACCACGCAGTTTTAAACGGTTGCATACAGACGGAGGTGGGTAGAGAACCCAAAACCTGAACTCAAGCAAGAGTAGCACTGCTTCAAGAAAAAGTGAAAAATAGCTGAAGTAAAAAAGAAATTACTTAAAAGTGAAAAAAAGTATTTGGTGAAAAGGCTGCTGAGGTTCTGATCAAAGCGTTTAATATTTTTAAAAAAATCATCGGCTGGACCAAGATTTTAAATTATGTGAATATGATGGTATATTGAGGACCAAATTCAAAATAATTCAAACAAATAACATAATAACAAAACAACAAAAATCAATTTCTTTCAGTAGAAAACGTATGAAACGTTAACAGAAACTGCAGGTGCGAGTCTGTGTCTGGTGAGTTTCTGAGTTAAAACAAGCTTCTTCTTCTTCTTCTTCATCCAGTGAAGTTACTTACAAGTATCCAGAAATTTTAGTCAAGTCAGAGTAGCGATACTTCATAATAAAACCACTCAAGTGAAAGTAAAAAAAGTTCAGCATAGTAAGAAAAATACTCCCACAAGTACATCAAGTAAACGTAACCAGTTACTACCCAACTCTGCATGTAGATATAGATTTAAATAAAACTATGTTACGTATTTTGCATCAACTAGCCGCAGAAAATGACCTATCGGTGGTCACCCCCGTCCAAAAACTTTCTAGGGACGCCCCTGGAGAATAAGCGTCGAAAGCAGGCATGAGGCATCCAGTGATAGGACGGCGGGGCGCACACGCCTCCTTTCCCTCTTACCTCGACCGCTTGGTAACGGGATCCCGCATCACCATGCACTCCTTCACCTCGCCAAATTTGCAGAAGTACTCTCTCAAGCCTTCTGCGGAAGACAACGAGGACAGCAAACTATTAAATAAACTCAGGAAGGGGGACAAGTTCTCCCTGCAGACACCCTCCCCACACACATACACACACACACACACACACACACACACACGCATGTGTTGCTGGGGTGGCCGGAGAGAAACAATGGGGTCGGGGTGGACCACGTTGTGTTTGCGTCCCTCCAGACCTCCCAGATTACAGCGAAGGCCACAAAAAAAAAAGAAAAAAAAAAAAACAAGATTGCAGGTTTAGAGCAGCAGCATCTGTGGGATAATAACACGGCTAACTAGAATAAACTGTGAGCATGCGTGTCTCCTAGAATAAATGCGAACGATGAGACGCAAACAACAACAGGAGCGTGGGAATAAGCAGGCGCACAACTTCGGCTTTGCCTCCGAATAATCGATAACTTTTATCATGCGCGTATTTATTGTTAATAGAGGTGAAATCCTCTGTTATTAACTGCGCAAACGAGCGCACATGCGGGAGGGGGGAAAGAAAAAAAGAAGAAGAGGGAGTGAGGGAGGTTGAAGGGGGGCGGGGGGGGGGGGACAGGCAGACAAGTCTAGTTGTATGTGTGCACGATTTCCAGTGTTAATCTCCTGCGTCTCTGCAAGTCTTAAATCCTGAGAGCTGATCCTCGGTGAACAGCAGCCTTTCTGTGTTTGAACTGTACACGGGTTTTCTGTGCAACTTCAAGAAGCATGGAAGCTGCGCGTTTTCACAGAGAGAGAGGGAGGGAGAGAGGGGAGGTTGTTTCATCCAGACAGTGTTAAAGTAGAGTGCGGGACAGCTCACCTTGTGTTGTCTGCCAACTCAGACCCCCGATGAACATTTTGCTGAATGAGAGAAACACAAGCCGCATGTAAGTCACACAGCACAAAGCGCCTCTTCCCCAGCACATTTATGAGCAAATCTGGAGGGTTTCTCTGTGTAATCTAGCATCAGTAAAGTAAAGAAGAAAGCATCGGCCATGTTGCGAAGTCACCCATCGGCCGGCCGGGCCGTTATAATCCCCCAGAGGAGGAGGAATAAATAATAATGGTGATAATAAAAGACAGGGATGATGGAGAAGTTGCAGCGTGGCCATTTGGAGGAACACCGCGAGAAATAAACAAACAAGAAGGATGAGGAGGAAGGGAGGCAGGCAGGCGGAAAGAAGCGGTGCGTCTGTGTCTCCTCCGGTGAGTGGATCCATCCCACACACACATACACACACATTCAGAGAGAGAGAGAGAGAGAGAGGGGGAGAGAGAGAGAAAGACCCACACAGACACACACGCACACACGCAGCGTGCTCGTCTTTTGTCTCGGCGCGGAACTCCACTAAAGTCCAAGGTGAACTCAAAAACGGGTCCAGAAAAAGCAAAAGCGGCGGTGCTCCGGACCGGCTCGTTTACCAGGGGTCGTGGGGGGAGTTGTCCGTGCCGGAGGACAGGCTGCTCTGGCTCCCTTCCGTATCCATTCTGCTCTCCTGCTGCTGTGGTTCCCGCACTGGTGAGGCGAGGAGAGGCAGTGAGGCTTCCACCGCTGCTGCTGCTCCAGACTCAGGGGCGGGCAGGCTCGATGAGAGCAGCAGCAGGAGGAGGAGGAGGAGGAGGACGGGGAGGGGGGTGGGGGGAGGAGAGGGGCAGCAGAGGTGGGGGTGGGGGAGGATGAAAAGAGGAGGGGTGAGTGAGGAAACACACGAATGCAGGCGCGCTCAGGGAGAAACTCCGCCCTCTACCTCAGTTTCTCCCGTAGCCTCGGACCTCCCCTCCCCTTTCCTCTGCCCCGTCCCTCCCGCACATTGGCTGGCTGTGTTCATGCTGCCAGTGGCGCTCTCTCTGTAGTGTTTCCCCGCCGTTCCTGTCATTGGCTGATCACAGCAGCATGGTCCATTAAAGAGTATTGAGTGGAGCGGGACCCACAGTGTCCTCTGCCAATTCGGTAACCTGTAGTCTAGTGGAATTACAACAGCAAATGGAGGACATGATTATATATATATATA